CTCCACTCCCAGCCACCCACTCCCCGTGAGTATATGAAAATAATATATATATATATATTTATAATATTTATTATATTTATTATTATTATTAAGAATGGATGGCCATCTTTCAGTAGTGCTTTCACTGTGCCTTCCATGCACGGAGGCAGAAAGTGTTTTGTCAATATTTTTATTATTGAGAGAAGCATTGTCAAACCGGAATAGAGATTTCACCCCTCCTCTCTCTCTCTCTCTCTTTCCCCCCACTTTCCTTCTCCGAGGTTAAAACTATTATTTTCACGTTGCGCAACCACGCCCGCCATCTTAACGAATCAATTCGTTAATATTAACGAAATTTCGTAAATATCAAACTTTTTGAAGGGAAAATTTCGGAAATATTTTAAATAACGAGACACAAAAACACCCCAAAAACGAATCGATTTTAGAAACAATTTTTTCCGTTGTTACCCAGGCCTACCAAATAACTCATAGGCTTAGGATACATGAGAAATGAATCAATTCATTAATATTAATGAAATTTCGTAAATATCAAACTTTTAAAAGGGAAAATTTCGGAAATATTTTAAATAACGAGACACAAAAACACCCCAAAAACGAATCGATTTTAGAAACAAATTTTTCTGTTGTTACCCAGGCCTAATATTTCCTCCTGAAGAACAAAAGGTCCTCGAAAAAAACTTTTGCCTTTGCTCTGATTATTCATTCCACTCAAAGCACAATAGATCAGGCTGGTCTTTGTCTCGCCGGCCACATGGCATGGCACTTCCTTTCCCAGATTCCTTTGTGCTCCCTCATCCCGCCTCCATCTCTCCTGATTGGCTGTCGCCACCAGGTGGCAGAGGTCTCCCCATTGGATGCTACGGACCACTGGAGCTTCCTGATTGGTCCAGAGGCACCAGGGGTGGGAGGGCCGCCTCCCAGGTGTCCGCCCATCACCCAATCACAGCAGGGAACAACAGGGAAGCCGGGGCGGGGAGTTTGAACTCTGCAAATTTGAATTTACTATAAATATGGATGCATTGGTGTAATCTCCTCATGCTTGTGGTGGAATTATTCCCACAATTGCATCCGATCTCAGCTGAATCGCATTAAACCTCGATCGGCTTTTCTTCAACTGGTGAGACTTTTCATTGGGAAATCAGGGAAAATATGGGATGCTTCTCTGTCTCGCCAGGGAAAAAGAACTCTTTGATGAGTCTAATTGGTCTCTGCCTCCTGGCAAAGACCCCTAAATTTTAGCTCTAGAACAAAGCCAGCACTTTGAATTGTGCTCGGTAGCAGACTGGCAGTCAGTAAGTGGAGCTGGTGTAACAAGAGAGTTGTAAGACCTTGAGGCTCAGGGCACAGGTTTGTTATCCTGGAGTAAACAGGCTTCTAATCCACCTTTTAATGCACCAGCCTGGACTTTGTCACATCAAAATGTTGAAGTACCATGGCTGCATGACACAATTGTGATCTGAGAATGTGGGACACAACCCACCGTCTTTAGTGTCTCTACGCTAATGCACAAAACAAGGGAAATATACAAGCAGATGGGCGGATGGAGCAGAGGGTGCAGGAGGGGAAACGCAGCATGAAATAAAAGGGAAAGGGGCAGTACAGGAACATCTGGCTAATCTAAATAGAGTCACGTCTCCAGGGCCAGATATACTCCGTCCAAGGGGATTAAATAGAAGAACTGGCAGAAGTCATTTCAGAGCCAATGGCGGACCTCTTTGAGAACTCCCAGTGCTTCTGCCCAATGGCTCGTCCTCTGTCAGGCAAAGGCACTCTCATTGAGGCAGACCTTGGATCGATTTCTTCAATCCTATGGTGTAGAAGTGTGGATAGAGGCTGTTGGAGCATGAAAGAAATCAGTTAATGTGTGTGTATCAACTATAAAATAGTGTGCATGAAGCTGATTGGTTGGGCAATGCCCAGGGAGCAGGCTGAGCCTGGGACTTTTGGGTACTGTTACATTTGTTACATACTGTTACATCGACAATACACTGTTACATTTTGTTCAGGCTTGAGGAAAAGCTGATCGGTTGGGAGTAGGCTGAGCCTGGGACTTTTGGGTACTGTTACATTTTGTTCAGGCTTGAGGAAAAGCTGATCGGTCGGGGAGCAGGCTGAGCCTGGGACTTTTGGGTACTGTTACATTTTGTTCAGGCTTGAGGAAAAGCTGATCGGTCGGGGAGTAGGCTGAGCCTGGGACTTTTGGGTACTGTTACATTTTTGTGCAGGCTTGAGCTATGCAGGTTTTGAGAGAGAATCATAGAATCATAGAATCAAAGAGTTGGAAGAGACCTCATGGGCCATCCAGTCCAACCCCATTCTGCCAAGAAGCAGGAAAAGAGCATTCAAATCACCCCTGACAGATGGCCATCCAGCCTCTGTTTAAAAGCTTCCGAAGAAGGAGCCTCCACCACGCTCCAGGGCAGAGAGTTCCACTGCTGAACGGCTCTCACAGTCAGGAAGTTCTTCCTCATGTTCAGATGGAATCTCCTCTCTTGTAGTTTAAAGCCATTGATCCGCGTCCTAGTCTCCAAGGAAGCAGAAAACAAGTTTGCTCCCTCCTCCCTGTGGCTTCCTCTCACATATTTATACATGGCTATTATATCTCCTCTCAGCCTTCTCTTCTTCAGGCTAAACATGCCCAGCTCCTTAAGCCACTCCTCATAGGGCTTGTTCTTCAGACCCTCCAGAAGAACCAGAAAGAAACAGATTTTGGAGTGTACTCTTGCTTCATGAGCTGCTGGTGGAGGACCTGTCCAGATACAATACATTGCCTTCTCATCCAGTGTTTTTAAACTTTTTAATCCTTGCTATCGGCCCTGCCCACTGTGATTTATTTTCTGTGTTTAAATTAATTGTGTTTTTACATTGTTTATGTTTATTTATATTGTTTCTTGTATTTTATTTTTTATTGTTTTTACTGTTGTATGTTATTCATTTGCTTTGCTGTACTGTTGGGCTTGGCCTCATGTAAGCTGCCCTGAGTCCCCTTGGGGAGATGGTGGCAGGGTATAAATAAAGATTATTGTTGTTGTTGTTGTTGTTGTTGTTGTTGTTGTTGTTATTATTATTATTATTATTATTATTATTATTATTATTATTTGAAACACCACAAGATGAGTCCACAGCAGACACTCTGCTGCCTGTTGAATTGGATCACACTCACACGTCGGACCCTTCCCAAGTGTCTAGGACTGTGTGATGTGTCAGCAAATAATGCGTGCAGATTCCAGTAGCATGGTCTTTCGCAGCTGGCAGATGGTAATTTTGTCAGCGCCAATTGTGCTTAAGTGCAGGCCAAGGTCTTTAGGCACTGCACCCAGTGTGCTGATCACCACTGGGTTGGTTTATTATTATTATTACTAGCCGTCCCCTGCCCGGCGTTGCTGTGGCCCACATGGGGGTTCTGTGTGGGAGGTTTGGCCCAATTCTATCTTTGGTGGTGTTCTGAATGCTCTGTGATTGTAGGTGAGCTATAAATCCCAGCAACTACAACTCCCAAATGTCAAGAATCTATTTCCCCCAATCTCCACCAGTGTTCACATTTGGGCATATTGAGTATTCGTGTAGAGTTTGGTCCAGATCCATCACTGTCTGAGTCCACAGCGATCTTTGGATGTAGGTGAACTACAACGCCAAAACCAAAGGACACTGCCCACCAAACCCTTCCAGTATTTTCTGTTGGTCATGGGAGAAATGTGTGCCAAGTTTGGTTCAATTCCATCATTGGTGGGGTTCAGAATGCTCTGTGAGTGTAGGTGAACTATAAATCCTAGCAACTACAACTCCCAAATGACAAAAACAATTTTTTGAGTGAAGGACATACTTTGGGTTGTTAGGTGTCTTGTGTCCAAATCTGGTGTCAATTCGTCCAGTGGTTTTTGAGTTCTCTTAATCCCATAAAAGAACATTACATTTTAATTTATATAGATTACTAGCCATCCCCTGCCACACGTTGCTGTGGCCCAGTCTGGTGATCTGGAAAATAAAGTAATGAGAAAGTGTTGGTTTCAAAAATATGTAATTTCGTTCTGCTTGTGGGTAAACAGTATTTCTTGCTGTGGAGTGTCTGGTTTGCCCACCCTGGAACATGCAACATATCATTGTCCTTCTTTAAGGGTCCATTTCAAATCTATGATACTATATCTGTGTGAATCATATCTATCTCTATCTATCTCTATCTATCTATCTATCTATCTATCTATCTATCTATCTATCTATCTATCTATCTATGGTTGGATGACTCTTTATCAGGAGGACTTTGATTGTGTTTTCTTGCCTTGATGAAGGGAGTTGGATTGGATGGCCTTGAGTATTTTCTGTTGGTCGTGGGTGTTCTGTGTGGGAAGTTTTCCCCGAGTCTGTCGTTCATGGGGTTCAGGATGCTCTTTGATTGTAGGTGAACTATGAGTCCCAGTGACTACAACTCCCAAATGTCAAGGTCTATTTCCCCCCAAACTCCATCTGTGTTCATATTTGGGCATATTGAGTGCTTGTGCAAAGTTTGATCCAGATCCATCATTGTTTGAGTCACAGTGCTCTCTGGATGTAGGTGAACTACAACTCCCAATCTCAAGGTCAATGCCCACCAAACCCTCCTAGTGTTTTCTGTTGGTCATGGGAATTGTGTGTGTCACATTTGGTTCAATGCCATCATTGGTGGAGTTTAGTATGCTCTTTGATTGTAGGTTAACTGTAAATCCCAGCAACTACAACTCCCAAGTGACAAAATCAATTTTTTGGAGTGATGGTCACTCCTTGGATTAGTAGGTGTCTTGTGGCCAAATTTGGCAGCAATTCATCCAGTGGTTCTTGAGTTATGTTAATCTCACAAACGAACATTACATTTTTATTTATATAGATTACGCCACAGAAGTGTGTTTTTTCCCTGTATGTTTTATGTTTCAGATTCCACTGTGAGTCTCTCGATGGGAGAAAAGTAGGGCCTGAACGGAATAAATATGTAAATAAACACCAAACGCATGGATTCCCACCAGACCAACTTATTTTTAAAATACCTTTTTATTATTGTTCTCATTTAAATATTAATACGGGACATTACAAAAAAGGAGAAAATACAAAAAAACGCTATAAAACCCCTTGGGGTCTCCCTGAAACGGAGAAAAAACCCCAACGGTAACGCCAACGCCGCTGCCGCCGCCGCCTTCGCCCCTCTTTTTTCCTGCCGCAGCGTCGCCAGCTTTACGTGTTTTTTTTGTATTTAAAAAGACACACAATGTCGGGGGGAGTCCAGAAGAGAAGGCCTGGTTGTCTTGACCGTTCAAACCGGTCAGCAAGTTCAGCAGTGCTTAACAGTTTCGATCTTCTAGGAGATTGTGGGGAGGGGGAGATACCTGCACATTTGGGGGGGACGGGACTGACGTGTTAGACTCTGTACAGCTATACAAGGGGTGCGCATGGGGCGCTCCCCTCGGGTAAAAGTCGAGACGGCTTAAAGACCAGCTCCCAAAACCCAGCGGAAGCCACGAGACGAGACTCACGTGGGACCCTGCAATGGCAGCAACCTCCCCGCTCAATGCAAAACGAGAGACCAGGGGTTGTTTTGGTACCAGATCTCAACTGAGAAAGGAAAGGTCCTTTGTTTACCTTTGGAACCTTCTGAATTCCAGCCCAGTTTCACTTCCCAGGGGTGCCCCAACTGTAAAAGTCGAGACGGCTTAAAAACCAGCTCCCAAAACCCAGCGGAAGCCACGAGACGAGACTCACGTGGGACCCTGCAATGGCAGCAACCTCCCCGCTCAATACAAAACGAGGGACCAGGGGTTGTTTTGGTACCAGATCTCAAATGAGAAGGGAAAGGTCCTTTGTTTACCTTTGGAACCTTCTGAATTCCATCCCAGGGGTGCCTCAACTGTTCCACCAGCTAGTGTTGCTTTTTAAAATATGCCCTTCTGAGAAATGTTTTGCATTTTAGCATAGTTTCTAAACATGGCATCACCCAGACAGACCTTTTGACCCTTTTCGGAGACAGACGCACGTCCCTGCAGCCACCAAACCCTCCCTCCCAGGCTCCGGACACGTCCATCGCCTCCCTTAACGCAAAGACACAACTTATTTCTCTGCCACGTACACACGCTAACACACACGCACACACATACGCGTTCCCCAGCTTAAAAGAACCACACCGGACACCCCAAAAATGGCTAGGAAGAGGACCAGTTCTCGTGAGGTTTCTATTATTAAAAAGAGTTAAAAAGAGGAACCGTCGGTCAAGCAAGGCCAGAAGACGCGGTGCCGAATGCGGCCGGTTCTCTCCAGGAGTCTGTCGTGGCAGCGTGGCAAAATAAGGTCTCGGCAGTGGGAGGAGACGACCCCCGAGAGTGGATCGGAGCCCGGTCCGGCTTGGCATGAAATCGACCGACGGAGCAGCGGAAACAAAGCGAAACGCCTCCCTTCCGCAGAGCGAACGTCCAGACAAACTGGGAATATCACCGATGGCGGTTGCTCGAAGACCGTTGCTCCAGATCGAGGAAACGGGAGCGGCTCTGGTTTGAGTCCTATTTACATCAGCGTTTCACACGCAGCTCGCCAGTCAGACTCCACAAAGCAGGAGGGCAGAGGAGGCCGGAAGCAGGCACGGTGGGCCCAGAAGAGGGGCGTTGGCAGTGAACCGAGCTCCCAGAAGGGAGGGCAGAGCACCCGATCCCAGCCGGAGCGTCTCTTGCGAAAGGAGGTGCGGTTGGCAGTGAGGGCGCAGTCGGACCCCGCGCAGTGCAGGCCGAGGGTGCCGCCGCGGCACCCCTGGCGCGTGAAGCAGCGTCGCCGCCCGGAAAGGCGTGCGGTCGTTCAGTCGGTCGTTCGGTCAGGCGGGCAGGTGGACGAGGGAGGGGGGTCCGTCCGCCCGGCGGGCTCTAGGAGCAGGGCAGGTGTTGCTTGAGGATCTGCCGGGTCTGCGGGGCTATCCTGTCCGGGAAGCGGACCTTGAACTCCACAATCAAGTCCCCCCGCTGGGTGGGCACCTTGGGGAAGGGCAGACCCTCGCCGCGCAGCCGCTTCACCGTCCCCGGCTTGATGATGTCGTTGCAGGGCAAGGGGATGACGCGCCCGTCCACCGTGGGAATGTTGACGGTGCAGCCGCACAAGGCCTGCAGGAGAAAAGGGAGAGAGGGGAGCGTTATTTATTTATTTATTTATTTACAGCTTTTATATTCCACCCTTCTGGATCACAACCAGTGTTGCAATCCAGAGCAGGGAACGAGGCCCTAAGATAACTATCCACCACACTTGGCTGTGAAAAACAATCCTTTTTTATTGAAGAAAAATGGTTACAAAATAAAGGAAAAAATGCAAGTCAAAAGCCACAGCAAAATCAGCAAACATGAATTTAAATGGACAAAGCAAAACCAAAAGCCTCACTGGGAATACTGGAACCTGTTAGCAATCCACTAACCGTACTTGATATCCTAGAAATCTTCCCAAACTATGGCCAGGGAACCGGGAGAACTGCCAAGGTCTTCATCAATTCTGAAACGATGCCTGAACTGAGACAGTCAGCCCGGCGTAAGGCAATTAAAGCTCAAGAATTGGTTCCGTGAACCGCCCTTCTTCTTTGAAGCCAATGTTTTTAATTCTTGAATTCAGGAGGATCGACGCAAACTGAGTGATTTACTTCTGTCTTCCCAAATTTGGCCCCTTCTGTTGTCATTACAGTTAACAGGTGCAGAAGGGAGGGAAATTTCAAGGTCTCCCTCTGAAACATTCTCATGAACACTGGTACTTTCATTTTCCAAATCTACAGAAGTTTCTTCCTCAGGAGCATTGGCATCAGGTTCTTTTTTTGTTTTTTTTTATTTTTCTGTTTTTATAGCAGGGAGTGAAAGGTCATGGCTTCCCTCTGAAACATTCTCATGAACACTGGTACTTTCATTTTCCAAATCTACAGAAGTTCCTTCCTCACTAATTTCAGGAACATTGGCATTTTCCAAACCTACAGACGTTTCTTCCTCACTAATTTCAGGAGCATTGGCATCAAGAGGTACATTTCCATTAGCATCAGTAAATATACTTTCATTAGCATCAGGAGGAACAAACAGAGAATCAGGTTCAAGTTCAAACTCAGGCTGAACCCACAACCAGATACAGTGAAGACATCTGCCCTTGCGCTGTGCTACTCTGCTGCTGAGTCTGCATGCCCAGTGTGGAACACATCTCACCACACTAAAACAGTGGATGTGGCTCTTAATGAGACATGCCGCATTATCACGGGGTGTCTGCGCCCTACACCACTGGAGAAATTACACTGCTTAGCACTACCTGACATCCGCCGGGAAGTAGCAGCCAATAGTGAAAAGGACCAAGGCAGAGACATCTCCAGCTCATCCCCTGTTTGGGTATCAGCCAGCACGTCAACGACAAACAGAGCCAATCTTCAGAAATAGGGCTACAAAGTGGAGTCCACAACATGCGAGTGTGGAGAAGAGCAAACCACAGATGACTTACAGCAATGCAGCCTGAGCCCTGCCACATGCACAATGGAGGACCTTCTTATAGCAACTGGGACGTCCGTAGGGAGACCAAGGTGATTGTTTATAAAGCTATTTTCCTTCCAACTCTACTATACGCCTAGGAGACGTGGACTGTCTACAGACGTCACATGCAACTCGTAGAACAATCCCATCAGCATTGCCTCTGAAAAATCCTGCAAATCAGGTTGTTGTAGGTTTTTTTGGGCTATATGGCCATGGTCATATGGCATTCCCTCCTATAGTCCTCAATGGCCTTATAGCCCAAAAAAACCTACAACAACCCAGTGATTCCGGCCATGAAAGCCTTCGACAATCCTGCAAATCTCTTGGGTAGACAAGCGAACAAATGTCAGCGTGTTGGAAGAAGCAAAGACTACCAGCATTGAAGCGATGGTCCTCCGCCATCAACTCCGCTGGACCGGCCACGTTGTCCGGATGCCTGACCACTGTCCCAAAGCAGTTGCTCTACTCTGAACTCAAGAACGGAAAACGGAGTGTTGGAGGAAAGGAAAAGAGATTGAAAGATGGGCTCAAAGCCAACCTTAAAAACTCCTGCATAGACACTGAGAACTGGGAAGCCCTGGCCTGTGAGTGATCCAGCTGGAGGTCAGCTGTGACCAGCAGTGCTGTAGAATTTGAAGAGGCACGAATGGAGGGCGAAAGAGAGAAACGTGCCAAGAGGAAGGCACATCAATCCAACCCCGACCGGGACCGCCTTCCACCTAGAAACCGATGCCCTCACTGTGGGAGAAGATGCAGGTCAAGAAGAGGGCTCCACAGTCACCTACGGACCCACCGCCAGGATACTACACTTGGAGGACCATCATCCTTGGACAACGAGGGATCGCCTAAGTAAATAACTAGTATAGCAAGACCAGAGGCATTCCAAGTGGCCAGCTTCTGGTCAAAGGACATTTAGCATCATTATTTATTTATTTCATATATTTCTATCCCGCCCTTCTCCCCACAAGGGGGACTCAGTGCAGCCTCACATGAACATCAGAGGATGCTAACAACATAAACACCATAAAAACTACAACTCATAATAAAATCATTGTAAAACATTGTACATCATCAATAAAATTTAACAATAAATTAATAGACTAACGTGCCAGTAAAACCAAGCGGAGCCAGGAGAATCCATGTCGCAAAAATCCAAATTTCCTTTTCCTATTGCTGCTGGCCTCTAATCGAATGCCTGGCCTCAGAGCCAGGTCTCCAGTTGTATTCTAAAGGACAGGAGGGAGGTGGCCAACCTGATCTTCTTAGGGAGGGAGTTCCACAGACAGGGGCCCACTGCCGAGAAGGCCCTGTCTCTCGTCCCCACCAACCGCGTTTGCGAGAGTGGTGGGATCGAGAGCACGGCCTCTCCTGATGATCTTAAACTTCGTGATGGTTCATAGCAGGAGATACGTTTGGACAGGTAATCTGGGCCGGAACCGTTCAGGTTAAAACCAGCACTTTGAATTGTGCCCGGAAGCTAAACGGCAGCCAGTGGAGCTGGCGCAACAAAGGAATAGTGCGCTCCCTGTATGCCGCTCCAGTTAACAACCTGGCCACCGACTGCTGGACTAATTGGAGCTTCCAAGAAGTTTTCAAAGGCATAGAGAGCGTTGCAGAAGTCTATTCAGGATGTAACCAGAGCGTGGACCACCGTGGCCAATCAAACTTCCCAAGGAACACGCGCAGCTGGCGCACAAGCTTTAATTGTGCAAAAGCTCTCCTGGCCACCGCCGAGACCTGGGGTTCCAGGCTCAGCGAAGAGTCCAGGATCACCCCCAAACTGCAAACCTGTGGAACCCTGTCCAACACAGGCTGTAACCCTATGCCCTGTTTGGCCTTTTGACTGACCAGGAGTACCAAGTATTAAACTTTGTTTGTGGGGTGTGTGTGTTTATGTGTGGATCCTTGGGGTTTCTTCCAACTCTGAGGTTCAGTTAGCCAAGTCAATGGGCATCAATAGGGCATCAATAGGCATCAACATTGCCTTAATCAAGTGCAACGTGGGAGGAAAAGGCTGGTTATGAATGAATCAAAACAAGCAGCTTCTTTAATGGGAAAATTTGCCACCAGAGGCAGAAATGCCACGGAAAAACATGGTGATGCCATTGCAAAAGGGAAGAGCAGTTTGACATGTTTCGGCAAGGTTTTTACAAGAAGTTATGAGTTTGCCCCAAGGGAAACGTGAAGCAATTCAGGTCAGAGCAGAAACATTTTGAACCTTCTGGAGACGACGTGAAGGCCTCACCCAAAATGCACCCAGGGAATCTCTTCTCCTTCCTTCCGCTAGAAACCTTTTCCAATGAGTTCCAAATGTCGGTGGCCAAATATTTAGATCGATGAGCCCAATAGTGTCTGTTCCTCCTCCCAAGACTCATGCTCAGGATATTGTGATTAGAGTTTGCCATACTGTATTCTGTCATATGCTTAATATGTAGCTTTAATAGCTTAATAGCCCCCCGACTCTGGAACTCATTGCCCAGTGAGATTAGGAAGGCCCTCACCGTAGAAACTTTCAAGAGGGATCTCAAAACCTGGCATTTCTAATGCGCTTTTAGAGAGTAGCCATGTTATCACACAGTTGCTCCCCCTCAACCGTTTTTGTCCCCAGAGTATATTTCCCCACCTGTATGAAGGTCGACCAGATGACCAGAATTTACTTGAAGTTCCCAATTTTAGGACCTTTCACCTGATGTCTACTAGGAGTAGAGCATTCACAGTGGTGGCTCCTTACCTGTGGAATACCTTGCCAGCAGGGACACGAGCTCTCCAAGATTTACTATCCTTTCGTAGAGCTTGTAAAACTTATTTATTTAGGCTGGCATTTGAACCTTGCTGATTGAATTTTTCCTTGATTTTAATGTTATGTGTTGCATGTGTATATTGTGAACCGCTCCAAGCCTTCAGGGAGTGGTGATATATAAAACTGATTAATAAATAAATATAAATAAATATATTTAGGACCCTGTTCCTTTACGAGTTTCTCCCCCACAAACAATCTGCTCCATCCCTGTCTCATCTTGATTTTAGTACTTTTAGTATCTTCGTTTTTATCTTGCACATGCGGCCCGCTCATTGTTATGTTATGTTATGTTATTTTACTGTGTATGATTTTGCTTTATCGTCTTTGTACTCATATGTTGTATGTATTTCACTGTGTTGCTATTATCCGTAGGGATACCAAGGTGCTTGTTTATAGCGCTATTGTCTTCCCAACTATATACCTGCGAAACATGGACTGTCTACAGACGTCACATGCAACTCCTGAAACGATTCCATCAGCGCTGCCCCCGGAAAATCCTGTAAATCTCTTGGGAAGACAGGCGGGGAAATGTCAGCGTGCTGGAAGAAGCAAAGCCCACCAGCATTGAAGTGATGGTCCTCCAACATCAACTCCGCTGGACCGGCCACGTTGGCCGGATGCCCGACCACCGTCTCCCAAAGCAGTTGCTCTACTCCGAACTTAAGAACGGAAAATGGAATGTGGAAGGTCAGGAAAAGAGATTGAAAGATGGGCTCAAAGCCAACCTTAAACACTCTGGCATAGACACCGAGAACTGGGAAGCCCTGGCCCTTGACTGCTCCAGCTGGAGGTCAGCTGTGACCAGCAGTGCTCCAGAATTTGAAGAGGCACAAATGGAGGACGAAAGGGAGAAGCGTGCCAAGAGGAAGGCGCGTCAAGCCAACTCTGACCGAGACTGCCTTCCACCTGGAAACCGATGCCCTCACTGCGGGAGAAGATGCAGGTCAAGAATAGGGCTCCACAGCCACATACGGACCCACAAGAACACTGGAAGACAATCATCCTTGGAAAACGAGGGATCACCTAAGTAAGTAAGTAAGTATTGTGTTTTGGTTTTACTTTATTGTTGGGCTTGGCCTCACGTAAGGCGCTCCGAGTCCCCATTGGGGGGAAGGTGGCGAGGTATTAAATAAAGATTATTATTATTATTATTATTATTATTATTATTATTATTATTATTTAGCTGCATTGTAGCAGAAGCTGGGGTTAACAGCAGGAGCTCACCCCACTCCCTAGATTCAAACCGCCAACCTTTCGGTCAGCAAGTTCAGCAGCTCGGCGATTTAACCCACAGCGTCACCAGAGGCTCCCTGTACAAGCTATACATCTTGTAAATTTTCAGAATGTGCTGTGGTCATCTGTACTTGCTCTTTTGAAATCAAGTCTTTCTGTCTTTGAGGCTGCCTGCCGGTGAAACTAGCCTCCCATATTCCTCCCAGTAGGAACATGACCATGACTTGCAGAACAGGCTTGGAGAAATAGCAAATTGGGTCACGCGGAGAGGTTAAGACCTCAAAATGTTTCTGGCGCATGAAATCGAGAGGTCAGGAGGAGAAGCCGTTCTGTGCAAGGAAGCAGAGAAATTGCACAACTCCTCCTGCCCCCAAAAAAACCCCAGGAAGATGCCCAAGCCAGACGCTGGAGAGGTTAAATTTAGACCGGCCTTGACAGCCATCTCCCCGGGGAGGTCCTCCTGCCATGGCTTTCTTTGCAGCCGGCTCAGCTGTCGCCAGAGGGCCCCTTGGCAACCCACGCCTTGCAAAAGTGGGGGAAATTGGGGGCTGTCAAAAGGGTCTTTGGGCGACTTCTAGGAAGCAAAGGCCTCCGCATGGGTCCCCTCCCGCTGCAAGGGCAGCAGCTGCAAACAAAGTGGGGCTATATTTACCCATGTCACCAGAAGAGCTGCCAGGAGACCCACACTGACCCCGACTCTCACGGCGAGGAAGAGAAAATGGCCTGAGAGGAAGGGACCCCACAGACCTCCTAACTCACAAAATAGATTTCAACAGGGAGAGATGTAAAGTATGGCAGGTTAGGGAGGAAAATGCACAAAGATAGGACGAGTAGTTTGGAAACAGGCCGTGTGAAAGGGATCTAAGCATCTTTGCAGACCACAAGCTGAAGGTGAGCCAAGAGTGCCATTCTAGAATGCGTCAATAGCAGTTGAGTGTCTAGAACGAGGGAAGGAATCGTTCCCGTCTGTTCTGCTTCACTCAGGCCTTGACTGGAATAGCCCTGAGTCCACTGCTGGGCACGACAATTCAACAAGGAGACGGACAAGATGGGAAGTGTCCAGAGAAGCGCCACTAAAATAGTCAAAGGCTTGGAAGCCAAGCCTTGTGCGGAGCAGCTGAGAAAGCGGTGAATGTTAAGGGAAGCAGAACAATTATAACATATACCAGGTGACAGCAGGATTGTAGAGAAACAACTGGAAAAGCTGGCACAATATGAGGATTTAAAGATCAAACTGCAAAGACTCTGGCACAAACCAGTCAAGGTGATCCCAGTGGTGATCGGCACACTGGGTGCAGTGCCTAAAGACCTTGGCCTGCACTTAAACACAATCAGTACTGACAAAATGACCAGCTGCCAGCTGCAGAAGGCCACGTTCTGGGATCTGCACGCATTATTCGCCGATACATCACACAGTCCTAGACACTTGGGAAGTGTCCAACGTGTGATACAATACAACAGCCAACCTTGTTTGCTGTGGAATCATCTCTTTGTGTTTCTAATAATAATAATAATAATAATAATAATAATAATAATAATAATAATAATAATAATGGTCCTAGACGCTTGGGAAGTGTTCGACCCTCTTCTGCCATTCTCCTCAAATGACCATCCAGGCTCTGTTTGTAAACATCCAGAAAAGGAGACTCCCCTGGACTCCCGGGAAGAAACATCTTCCATTGCCAGACAGTTCTTACTGTCAGGAAGTTCTTCCTAATGTTTAAGCGGAATCTCTTTTCCTGCAATCCGAATCCATGGCTCCATTGCGTCTTAATCTCTAAGCCTTTCCGATATGAGCCCAAATGCAGCTCATATTTTCCCCTGGCTCTGGAGGCAAGCTAAATACAGACTGGGAAGGTAACCTCTGACGGAAGTCCGATTTTGCAACTGAGCAATACCTCTATTTGGACCGATGCAAATGTCAAAGTGCCCGTCACACTGCGTAAGTATAGCACTGGGATCCCAAGCCAACATCCTATGGGACGCCGGGACTGAGGGAGGATTCTCAGCCAGGCTCTTAATGCCGCCCTAAACAAACATCAAATCCCAGGACTCCATAGAGTGCAGCCATGCCGAAGTGGAATCACGGCAGTGTGAAGAGGCCAACTGATATCGCAAATGCATTTGGCAGGGATGAGAGACAGGACTTTCTCGGCTGTGGCCCCCCGCCTATGGAATGCACTCCCAAATGAAATAAGATCGACTCCATCCCTCCTGGCCTTTAGAAAAAAAAATTAAAATTGTGGTTTTGGGACCGGGCCTTAGGGCAGCAGACGTAATTTGCACCATAATGGACGCTGACTGGAATGGCGTTGCGGCAGATGACATTGTGACTTTGTTTTATTGTTTGAATTAATGCAATATGTATTGGTTTTAATTATTGTTTTGTACTTGATTGTGTTATATTATTGTAACTGTGATGTAGCATTCTTGTTCTGGCAAATGGAGCTCGTGAATAATAATAATAATAATAATAATAATAATAATAATAATAATAATAAACCTTTATTTATACCCTGCTACCATCTCCCGCAGGACTTGGTGCGGCTTACAAGAGGCCGAGCCCAAATACATCAAAAACAAAAAACACAACAACAACACAAAGCAAAGCAAAACAATAACAGAAATCACGACACAATTGTGTTAGTAAAGTGTATATTCCTTGTTTAGGGAAAAATGTGGACCATGTTTCGTGTGTACTAGAACTAAAATTATTGTTATTAAGGCCACTCACCCAACAAGGGTTATGGGCCCAGTTGAAGTCCAAAACACTTGGAGAGAGGGCCAAAGTTTGCCCACACCTGCACTAGTGCCTCAGCCCTCTCTCCACCACCACTTGCCCACTTGAACCCCACTCAGTTCCCGCTCTTCGTCCCAGGACCCACCTCTTTAAGACTGATCATGGCCGTGTAGATGATGTTCGTGCCGTCCCGCCTGAAGTGAGCGTGCGGCTTGTCCTTCAGGATGAAGACGATGTCGGCGGGGATGTTGTCCGGCGTGGCGTCTCCTTCCTTGGGGAATGTGATCTTGGTGCCCTCTTTCCAGCCACGCTTGATGACGATGTTCAGGATCTTGTCCTCTGTCCGCATCGTCCTCCCGTCCGGGTTCAGCCGCCGGCGCGTAATCTTCATGCGCTTGGTGGCCCCGTGGTAGATCTCCTCCAGGGAGACCTTGAGCTCGTGCACCACGGGCGGGTCCTGCACCTTCCGGCGCATGTGGATGGGCTCTGGGTGCCGCCGGTGCACCCCGTTGAGGCCGTTGAAGCCGAAGCGGCCGAAGGCACTGAAGGGGTCATCATTGTCGTCGTCCACGTCCATGTCGTCGTGGTCGAAGCCGTTGAACACCCGAGAGCGCCCGCTGGTGAAGAAGATGTCAAAGGGGTTGGATCCCCCAAAGAAGGAGGCGAAGGTGGCGTGGGGGTCCCCGTGGAAGGTGTAATGGAAGGTGTTCCCGGGGGTGCCGGAGGAGCCGCCCCCTGTTTTGAGCCCTGGAAAGAGAACACAGGAGAAGAGAGAGAGATACATCAACAATGAGTGCAAGAACCAAGGCCTAACAAACAAGCAAGATCCTCTGCCTGGTGCGGGGTCTTCTTCACGCACACAGAGTTTTGTTACTGCGTTAAATGTCAGATCCTGTGGCATCCTGGGAAATGGTTTGCTAAGCCATCGCCAGAGTATTCTAAGTAACTCACCAAAACTACAAAACCCATATTCCACATATTCCACCTCCCCACAGAGGAGGTGCTAGGGTGTCTCCCAATTAGCTCAGTGTTTTTAGCAGCTATTCTGGCTGAACACACCAAAGTATAGTGTGAATGAGGGTCAAGATTATGGGAAGTGATATACACAGAAGTCCAAGATATGGAATGTCAGAAATATTAAAAATTAACTAAGTATTTTTAATTACAAAAATGTGAGTCAAGCACTGAAAGGGTTAAATGGATACAATGACTCAGAAAAAGCTGCAGTTCAATATATGCAAGTGTGACTGTAGCTTAGAAGCCGTCAGTCTGTGAGAGGTCTCTGTGGGAGAAGAGCCTCAGTGTGTTAGTAGGCCTCAGTATAAGTAGGCCTCAGTGTTAGTTCGCCTCAGTGTGAGAGAGGCATCAGTCTGAGAGAGGCCTCAGTGTGAGGTAAAGGTCTCTGTGGGAGAAAAGCCTCAGTGTGTTAGTAGGCCTCAGTATAAGTAGGCCTCAGTGTTAGTTCGCCTCAGTGTGAAAGAGGCATTAGTCTGAGAGAGGCCTTAGTGTGAGGTAAAGGCAGTTCCATCTTGTCTCCAGTGTCATCAGTTAGGAGCCTCTCCCCCCAGCATCAACTTCTGCTATGGGGCCAGAGTGAAGAGAGGGGCCAGGAAGACAGTTCCACCTTGTCTCCTGCACTGTCAGAAAAAGCTGCAGTTCAATATAAGCAGGTATGCCTGTAGCTTAGTTGCAGTCAATCTGTGAGAGGTCTCTGTGGGAGGAGAGCCTCAGTGTGTTAGTAGGCCTCAGTATAAGTAGGCCTCAGTGTTAGTTCGCCTCAGTGTGAGAGAGGCATCAGTCTGAGAGAGGCCTCAGTGTGAGGGAAACCTCAGTGTTAGTAGACCTCAAAGTGAGTTAGGCCTCAGTGTGAGAAGCTTCGGTGGGAGAAGCTCCAGTGTGAAGGCTGCTGTGTGTAAAAGGCTACTGTGTGAAGCTCCTATGTAAGTTCGGTGTGAGAGGAAACTCAGTGAGAGCAAAGCTTTTATCTGTATGAGAAAGAAGCCCAGCGTGGAAGCAAAGAAGGAAGCATAAAGAACAGCAGCAGAACCACCCATGAACTGAGAATTTTTCGAACTGATAGGCCAGCCTCTTTAGATACAGCTATTCTCATTGGAATTGTAGCACATTGCAGTCTGGAGGGTACCAGTTCTGCAGTTGCTTCTCTTGAGTTGCTTCAAAACAGGCATGGGCAAACTTTGGCCCTCCAGGTGTTTTGGACTCCAACTCCCACAATTCCTAACAGCCTCAGGCCTTTTCCTTTTCCCTCCTCAGCCGCTTAAGCTCTCACTGAGCTTCCTCTTACACCGAACTTATACAGGAGCTTCATACAGTAGCCTTTCACACTGGAGCTTCTCTTACCAAAGCTTCTCACACCAGGCCTTCTCACACTGAGGCCTACTGACACTGAGGTTTACCTCACACTGAAGCCTCTCTCAGATTGATGCCTCTCTCATACTGAGGTGAACTAACACTGAGGCCTACTTATACTGAGGCCTACTAACATGCTGAAGCCCTTTTCCAACAGAGACCTGCTTGTCCTGTTGCCCTTCAAAAACAGCCTTAATACAATGTTGAAAGTAAAAGAAAAATGCTTTACTTCAGCAGACACAAAGGATAAGCAAATGCAATTGAAAAGAGCAAAAGAAAGCAAGACAGTCTTAATCCAGACACAAATGAAAGTCTCTTACAAAATCTCAAAATAAACAGCAGTCTTCCATCAGACAATGGGCAATGAACTAAGTCTTTAGCAGCAAACACAAAACAGATTCCATTGGAGTGAAAACATTGGTATCAGGGTCGTTGTTACCAGCGAAAGCTGACTACTCCTACTTGTGATTTATAGCCCTGAATTCCCCACATAGGAGGTGCTAGGGCGTCTCCCAATTAGCTCAGCATTTTTAGCAGCTATTCTAGCTGAACACCGTCTGTGCTCTCTGTCTCTTTTATTTTTTCTCACTGTCTCACAAAATCTCAAAATAAACAGCAGTCTTCCATCAGACAATGGGCAATGAACTAAGTCTTTAGCAGCAGACAGAAAACAGATTCCATTGGAGTGAAAACATTGGTATCAGGGTCATTGTTACCAGCGAAAGCTGACTACTCCTACTTGTGATTTATAGCCCTGAATTCCCCACATAGGAGGTGCTAGGATGTCTCCCAATTAGCTCAGCGTTTTTAGCAGCTATTCTGGCTGAACGCCGTCTGTGCTCTGTCTCTTTTAGTTTCTCTAGAAATGTGGGCACTTTCAAAACCTCATTGTCTGATTCTTCTTCTGCCTCCAATTCCTGAGCACTTCCCTGATCCCCTTTGTTGTGACTCAGTTTGATTCTGAGTCTGAAACTGAACCCTCTTGGTCTTGTGAGCCAGAGTTCCTTGATGAAGAGGATGATGGGATTCAGATTTCTGTGCCTGCCTCAGACAGTGCAGCAGAGGAAACATCAAGTCAGTTCTCAGGGGGAAAGAATGCCAGTGGGATAGATAATGGCCAGGTGGAGTTGTCTTCACCTCCCCAGCCTTCCCACGGTGATCTAGTCCAGCTGGACCAAGATAAAGAGAGCCTTGAAGATAGTGAAATAATGAGCAGGTAAGAACGCTTAGAATTAAGGGTCCGGAGGAGCTCTCGCTTAGCTGGTAAGTGAGAAGCCAAGTCGGCCAAGGGTCATCGCAATGCATTCATGATTGCAAAGGGTATTTAGTAGGCTTGGGCAATCCATGGTTCTAAATGGTTCTAAAGTACTTACAAAACTAAAGTTCTGGTGGTGAAAATTTCAGAACTCTAACAAAACTTTCAAAATTTAATTATTATTTCATTATTGGTGATTTTAATGACAGAACCAATTAGGAACTGCCATTTATTATGAAATTTTGAGAGTTTTGTTAGAGTTCTGAAATTTTCACCACCAGAACTTTAGTTTTGTAAGTACTTTAGAACCATTTAGAACCATGGATTGCCCAAGCCTAGTATTTAGCCTTCTGGCTGAGAAACGGGAGTTGTCAGTTCAATGTGGCTCTTTCCATGCAAACTTCTATGGATTAACCTTGGCTTTAAGCAGCATGCTTCTAGCTTCCTGAATCTGGGATTTGGGGTCTTGTGTTTCACTGTTTTATCATGGACTCTTGTTTGATCATTGCCTAAAGGATTATCCTTCATGTTTTTGCCTTTGGATCTTAGAAACTGTGTTTTTTTATTTAAGCCTCTGTCCTGCTTATGAAACTTTTGCATTTCTTATTCTATGTTTTGACTTTGCTTTTTTTCTCAATAAACTACAAAATCTACAGCTCTGGTGTGGTGGTGTTTGGGAGCAAGGTGAAACTACCCTGAGTTGCAACACTCTTCCTCTTCCGAAGATGAGGAATCCCGAACACTTCTGCAGAGACATGGCCTACCTTTTCCCTGCTCTCTCTTTCCTTCAGAAGGCAGAGACAAGCTTATTTAGGCAGGGCTTTGGCTCTTGACTTAATCGCAGCCTTTTTGTTGGAACGTGAGATGTTTGAATCCCTTTAAACTAGGTTTTTGATGTGCTGTTAACTGCGGAGACGGAGTGTTTTTAATAGAACCGTTTGTTTAATTCCCATGTTGCCAGGACAGAGGAGAAACAAGCCAGAGAGACAAGCCAAGGACAGGTCAGCAGTTTCTGGGTCCCTTTTTAGCAGCCGGCCTGAAGCAGGGAGGCTTTGAATAGCAATGGAGTTGGACTGCGGCCCCGTCCCCCAACCCCCTCTGCCCTCCTTCCAGTTGGTGGGAAATAAACATGTCACATAGAGCTCAATGCCTCAGCCTTCTCCCGCATTTTGCCACCCCTAAGTGCTCAAATGGGCTCTTGCTGACTGTTTGATTTCCCCTTCCAGGAACATCACTTCTTTCCTCAAGAAACCGGAGAACGGCTTTTATCTGAAACTGCAGCAATTATGCCTTGCGCCTGTCACAGATGTGACATAATTATGCTTCGGAGAGCATAGTCGGTGCACTTTCTCTCTCTGCAAACCTACTCTTGGAATGCAACCCTTCCCCCTTCTCATGTCCTCTGTTTAAACAGTGATACTCAACCTGGGGGTCGGGACCCCTGGGGGAGGTCATAAGGGGGTTTCAGAGGGGTCCCCAAAGTCCATCAGAAAACACAGAATGTTCTGTTGGTCATTGGAGTTCTGTGTGCCAAGTTTGGTACAATTCCATCACTGGTGGAGTTCAGAATGCTCTTTGATTGTAGGTGAACTATAAATCCCAGCAACTACAACTCCCAATTGTCAAGGTCTATTTCCCCCCAAACTCCACCAGTGTTCACATTTGGGCATATTGAGTATCTGTGCCAAATTTGGTCCAGATCCATCATTGTTTGTGTCCAAAGTGCTCTCTGGATGTAGGTGAACTACAACTCACATCATCATTGAGGTGAGTTGTAGTGCTCTCTGGATGTAGGTGAGCATCCAAGTGCTCTCTGAATGTAGGTGAACTACAACTCACCTCATCATTGTTTGTGTCCAAAGTGCTCTCTGGATGTAGGTGAACTACAACTCCAAAATTCAAGGTCAATGCCCACCAAACCCTTCCAATATTTTCTGTTGGTCATGGGAGTTGTGTGTGCCAAGTTTGGTACAATTCCATCACTGGTGGAGTTCAGAATGCTCTTTGATTGTAGGTGAACTATAAATCCCAGCAACTAGAACTCCCAATTGTCAAGGTCTATTTCCCCCCAAACTCCACCAGTGTTCACATTTGGGCATATTGAGTATCTGTGCCAAATTTGGTCCAGATCCATCATTGTTTGTGTCCAAAGTGCTCCCTGGATGTAGGTGAACTACAACTCCAAAACTCAAGGTCAATGCCCACCAAACCCTTCCAGTGTTTTCTGTTGGTCATGAGAATTCTATGTGCCAATATTGGTTCAATTCCATCATTGGTGGAGTTCAGATTGGGAGGGAGCTTGATTTTGTCATTTGGGAGTTGTAGTTTCTGGGATTTATAGTTGATCTATAATCACAGAGCACACACCTCAATTTGCACAATTCAGATAAGTGGCCTATTACAGGTTGGGGCCAATTTCCCCTGGGGCAAATCCTAGCTGATGCAGCTAATGAAGGCAACTGCAATTCCCAGCTTCCTTCCTCCCCAAAAGCAAAAAAAGGAAGTCCTGCGGGACGGTCCCGGCCTTTGCCAGGCGGATGGGGATTGCTTATGAAACCAGGAGCGATGACTAAAATTGGGAAAGTCTCTGACACACACGCCGCGGTGCACAAACAGGGCAGCATGTACTGAAAAGGAAGCAAAGGAGAGGCAGAAGCCCGGCCTCTGGGACGCAGCTTTAACCCACAGATCCCTGAGCACACACCCTTTGCCACCCAGCAAAACCTATTCCTGGACTGCAACTCCCAGCAATCCTCGAGATAGATAAGATAGATAGATTACATAGAGATAGGTAGATAGGTCGGTAGGTAGATAAATAGATGGATTAATAGATCAGGCGGACTGCTGGGAGTTGCAATCCAAGAATAGATAGAGAAGGAAGAAAGGGGAGAAGGAGGAAGGGAAAGAAAAGGGGGGAGGAAGGGAAGAGGAAGAGAAGGACGGAAGGAAGGAGAGAAGGAAAAAAAAGAAAAGGGAAGGAAGGAAGGAAGAGGAAGAGAAGGAAGGAGGAAGAGAAGAGGGAGGGAGGAGGGAGGAAGAAGAAGAAAAAAGGAAGAAAGAAGAAAGAAAGAAAAGAAGAAAGAAAAGAAAGAAAGAAAGGAGGGAGGGGAGAAAAGGGAAGGGAAGGAAAGAAGGAAGGAAGGAAAGAGAAAGGAAGGAGAAGAAGGAAAGAAAGAAAGAAAGAGAAGGAGAGAAAGAAAGAAAAGAAGAGAGGGAGGGAGGAAGGAAGAGAAAGGAAGAGAGAAGGAGGAAGGAAGAGAGAAAGGAAGGACAGAAAAGGGGAAGGAGGAAAGGAAGAGAAGGAGGAAGGAAGGAAGGATGGAAAAAAGAAAAGGGAAGGAAGGAAGAGGAAGAGGAAGGAAGGGAGAAGAGAAGGAGGAGGGAGAGAGGAGGAAGGGAAGAAGAAAAAGGAGAAAGAAAGAAAGAAAGAGAAGAAAGAAAGAAGAGGGGAAAAGGGGGGAAGGAAGGAGGGGGAAGGAAGGAAGAAGGAAAGAGAAGGAAGGGAGAGAAGAAAAGAAAGAAAGAAAGAAAGAGAAGGAAAGAAAAGAAGAAAGAAAGAAAGAAGGAAAGAAGAAAAGAAAGAAAGAAGGAAGAAAGGAAGAAGGAGGAGGAAGGGGAGGAAGGGAGGAGGAGGAGGGAGGAGGGAGGGAAGGGAGGAGGGAGGGGGAGGGGAGGAGGAAGGAGGGAGGGAAGGGAAGAAAAGGGGGAAGGGAGGAAGGAAGAGAAGGAAGGAAAGAGAGAAGGAAGGGGAGGAAGAAAGAAAGAAAGAGAAAGAAAGAAGGAAGGAAGGAAGAAAAAAGGGAAAGAAAGAAAGAAAGAAAGAAAGAAAGAGAAAAAGAAAGAAAGAAAGAGGAGGGAGAAAAGGGGGGAAGAAGGAAGGGGAAGAGAGGAGGAAGGAAGAGAGAAGAGAGAAGAAAGAAGAAAGAAAGAAGAAAGAGAAGGAGAGAAAGAAAAGAAAAGAAAAGAAAAGGAGAGGAGGGAGGAAAGGAAAGAGAGAAGGAAGGAGAAAAGGAAGGAGGAGAAAGAGGAAGGGAAAGGGAAGGAAGGGAAGAGGAAGAGAAGGAGGAAGGAAGGGAAGGAGGAAAAGAAAAGGGAAGGAAGGAAGGAGAGGAAGGAAGGAAGGAGGAAGAGGAGGAGGGAGGGAGGGAGAGAGGGAAGAAGGAAGGAAAGAAAAAAGGAAGAAAGAAAGAAAGAAAGAAAGAAAGAAGAAAAGAGAAAGAAAAGAAAAGAAAAGAAAAGGAAAGGAAAAAGGAGAGGGAGGGAGGGAGGGAGGGAAGGGAGGAGGGAGGGAGGAAGAAGAAAGGGAAGGAAGGAAGAAAGAAGGAAGAAAGAGAGAGAAGGAAGAGAAGAAAGAAAGAAAGGAAAGAAAAGAAAGAAAGAAGAAAGAAAGAAGAAAGAAAGAGAAGGAAGGAAGGAAGGAGGGGAAGGGACAGAAAAGGGGGGAAGGAAGGGAAGAGAAGAGAAGGAAGGAAGAAGGAGAGAAGGAAGGAGAAAGGAGGATGGAAGGAGGAAGGAAGAAGGAAGGAGAAGGAAGGAGAGAAGGAAGGGACAGAAAAGGGGGAAGGAAGGGAAGAGAAGAGAAGGAAGGAAGGAAAGGAAGGAAGAGAGGAAGAAAAGAGGAGAGGAAGGAAGGAGAGAAGAGGAAGAGAAGAAAGGGAAGGGAAGGAAAGAGGAAGAGAAAGGGGGGAAGGAAGGGAGAAGAGAGAAGGAAGGAGAGAAAGGGAGGGAGGAGGGAGGAGGGAAGGAAAGAGAGAGAGAAGAGAAGAAAAGGAAGGAGAGAAAAGAAAAGAAAAGAAAAAAGAAGAAGCCCAGTCTCTGGGATGCCGCGAGGGACGCAGCTTTAACCCACAGATAACTGAGCAAACACCCTTCCCTCCCACTTGCCACCCAGCAAAACCCAAAAAGAAGCAAACCCTCCCAGTCAACAAATGCCAGTGTGCCTGGGAAATACATTCACAGACAAGCACATGCTTGAATTTGCCTATTAGTGACCGGACAGGGAAAAACAACACATAAGAGCCTGGTATTTGCCCTGAATGAATGGCCAGTGTTTTGCTTTTCTCATTGGCTGGGAAGACCCAAGAACAGGGCAGGTGGGGCTCCCAGGCATTTCGCTTACCTTCTTCCCCGTATTGGTCATAGACCGCCCGCTTCTTGGGGTCGCTCAGGACGTCGTAGGCCTCGGCGATCTCCTTGAACTTGTCCTCCGCGTTGGGGTCCTTGTTCTTATCCGGGTGGTACTTCAAGGCCATTTTCCGGTAGGCTTTCTTGATCTCGTCTTCGTTGGCTCCAGACTGGATCCCCAGGGCCTTGTAATAATCCTTCCCCATGGTGGAGACCGTCCCAGTCCCAGCCGCCGACTCTTTATTCCTGGGAGAAGGGAGGGAAAAGAGAGGGAAGGAAAGAAAGACAGGAAGATGAGGGTCAGAAAAGCCCAACGTTCTGCAATTCAAGCAAGAGGATCCGGAACCCTGGACCTGGTGAGTCTGAAACCTTGGACCTGTCCTTCACCTTCTGCATAAGCTCTCAGTTGTTTACATTGCACATTATGAACCTGGCCTACCAAACAAAAGACCTGGGAAGCCCCCAAGACTTGCAGATCCAGAACCTTGGACCTGTTCTTGGCCTTCTGCGTACGCTCTTGGTTGTTTGCGTTGCATACCACGAACCTGGGCTACCAAACACAAGTCCTGAGAAGCCTCCAAGACTTGCAGAAACCTATCTGCACCCTGGACCTGTCCTTGGCCTACTGCATACACTCTCGGTTGCTTGCGTTGTGCACCACAAACCTGGCCTACCAAACGAAAGACCTGGGAAGCCCCTAAGACTTGCAGATCTAGAACCCTGGACCTGTCCTTGGCCTTCTGCGTACACTCTCGGTTGTTTGCATTGCACACCGCGAACCTGGGCTACCAAACACAAGTCCTGAGAAGCCCCAATACCTGCAGATCCAGAACCCAGGACCTGTCCTTGGCCTTCTGCATATGCTCTCGGTTGTTTGCGTTGCGCACCACGAACCTGGGCTACCAAACACAAGACCTGGGAAGCCCCCAAGACTTGCAGATCTAGAACCTTGGACCTGTCCTTGGCCTTCTACATACACTCTCGGTTGTTTGCATTGCACACCACAAACCTGGGCTACCAAACACAAGAACTGTGAAGCCCCCAAGACTTGCAGATCTAGAACCTTGGACCTGTCCTTGGCCTTCTGCGTACACTCTCGGTTGTTTGCGTTGCACACCACGAACCTGGGCTACCAGACACAAGAACTGTGAAGCCCCCAAGACTTGCAGATCTAGAACCTTGGACCTGTCCTTGGCCTTCTGCATACACTCTCGGTTGTTCACGTTGCACACCACGAACCTGGGCTACCAAACATAAGACCTGGGAAGCCCCCAAGACTTGCAGATCCAGAACTCAGGGCCTGTCCTTGACCTACTGTGTACGCTCTCAGTTGTTTGAGTTGCACACCACGAACCTGGGCTACCAAACACAAGACCTGGGAAGCCCCCAAGACTTGCAGATCCAGAACTCTGGACCTGTCCTTGGCCTTCTGCGTGCGCTCTCGGTTGTTCGTGTTGCGCACCACAAACCTGGGCTACCAAATACAGGTCCTGAGAAGCCCCTAAGACTTGCAGATCCAGAACCCTGGACCTGGCGAGTCTGAAACCTTGGACCTGTCCTTGGCCTTCTGCATACGCTCTCGGTTGTTTGCGTTGCACACCACAAACCTGGGCTACCAAACACAAGACCTGGGAAGCCACCAAGACTTGCAGATCCAGAACCCTGGGCCTTCTGCATACGCTCTGGGGTGTTTGCATTGCGCATCATGAACCTGGGCTACCAAACAAAAGACCTGGGAAGCCCCAAGACTTTCAAATCCAGAACCCTGGACCTGTCCTTGGCCTTCTGCGTACGTTCTCGGTTGTTTGCGTTGCACACCACGAACCTGGACTACCAAACACAAGACCTGGGAAGCCCCCAAGACTTGCAGATCCAGAACCCTGGACCTTGCAAGTCTGAAACCTTGGACCTGTCCTTGGCCTTCTGCGTACGCTCTTGGTTGTTTGCGTTGCGCACCACGAACCTGGGCTACCAAACACAAGTCCTGGGAAGCCCAAAGACTTGCAGATCCAGAACCCTGGACCTTACAAGTCTGAAACCTTGGACCTGTCCTTGTCCTTCTGCATAAGCTCTCGGTTGTTTGCGTTGCACACCACAAACCTGGGCTACCTAACAGAAGTCCTGGGAAGCCCAAAGCAGGTGGAAACCATCAACCTATCTGCAAGTCTTGGGGGCAACAAAGGGGATTTTGGAAAGGAGCTCTACTCACCCTCCCTCTGCAAGACCGCCGGGGCAGATCGCACAGCCGGCGAAGGCTGTGTGTTGTTATTTGGAGGGCACCACGTGACGGCGTAACCGGAGAGGGGGGACCTCCTGCCAGCTGCAGGCCTTTGCAGTCTCCAAAACAAGCCCACTTGAGGTAGGATGGCTTTATTTAGAAAGCACAGGTATAGAACTGCTCCAGCGTGTTATTGTCAGAACTGACAGCTTCTGGAAAGTTGCACGTTGTATAGCAGGCATGGGCCAACTTCAGCCTTATGGGTGTTTTGGACTCCAACTCCCACAATTCCTAACAGCCTTGTGAGAGTTGGAGTTCAAAACACCCAGAGGGCTGAAGTTGGCCCATGCCTGCTCTATATCATAGAATCCTAGAGTTGGAAAAGACCTCCTGGGCCATCCAATCCAACCACATTTTGCCAAGAAGCAGGAAAATTGCCTTCAAAGCACCCCTGACAGATGACCATCCACCCTCTGTTTAAAACCCTCCAAAGAAGGAGTACAAATATTTGAAATAAATATATAAATAAATAAACTTCCAGCCATTAGTCTAGTTTGCTGTCGACCTATGCAGCCCAAAAGACAGTTGCATCTGTCAAGTAGGAAATTTAGGTACTGCTTTTTCAGGGAGGCTAATTTAACTAATTTACAACACCATAAAGCCTTTCAGCAGTGTGCAGAAGAATTAGGAAGTCCTCCATCAAAGGACTCAGTGTTACAAATGGACGGTGAAGCGGAAGCTCCCCCTGTGGCCAAAATCAAGCATACTTTCATGAAGCTGGAAAAAATCTGGAATGTTAAATTGCCTATGTGTCTGTCTATATATGTTGTATGTCTAAGTGGCATTGGATGTTTGCCACATATATGTGCATTGTAATCCACCCTGAGTCCCCTGCTTGGTGAGAAGGGCGGAATAAAAATACTGTAAATAAATACGAGGGTTGAATGAAAAGTAATGCCTCCACCTTCGTTACTTGGGTGTGGGTGGGAATATTTTAATAAATCAAATGCAGAAATAATCCTTATAGTGTACTCTTTAACTACCACAATTCGCTTTTCCACATAATCACCACATAATTGGATACATCTCTGCCAACGATGAACAAGTTTTCTGAAGCCGTCACGGAAGAAGTCGACACTCTGTTTCCGCAACCAGCGTCTCACAGTTCTGTCATCCTGGGTACCCATCGTGCACAGATCTTTCGATAGCCAAGCAAAGCAATAATGTGACCCACTCATTCTTGTGAAATGCCGATTAAACTTGAAATTTCTCTCTGAGTGACACAACCATCATCCTAAATCAATCCCGTTTAGACTACTGCAAAGCTCTCTATGTGGGGTTGCCCTTGAAGACTGTTCAGAAGCTTCAAATGGTCCAACGCCCGGCAGCCAGGTTGCTAACAGGAGCGGCACTCCGGGAGCATACCACTCCTATGCTGCGCCAGCTCCACTGGCTGCCAATCTGCTACCGGGCACAATCGAAGGTGCTGGCGTTAGCCTATAAAGCCCTAAACGGTTCTAGCCCTACTTACCTCTCCGAACGCATCTCCACCTATGAACCAACTAGGACATTAAGATCGTCTGGGGAGGCCCTGCTCTCGATCCTGCCTGCATCACATGCGCGGCTGGCGGGGACGAGGGACAGGGCCTTCTCGGTGGTGGCCCCTCGGCTGTGGAATGCCCTACCTGTGGACATCAGACAGGCCCCTTCGCTGTTGGCGTTCCGGAGGAAGGTTAAGACTTGGCTTTACGAACAAACGTTTAGCTAAACAGTGCAATTGAATACAGGAAGACGGTACAATCGAACATAGGAAACGGTACAAATGATTATGAGAACGGATTCTGATTTGTTGTTGAGGCGTTATGATAATGATTGTTTTTTAATTTTGTCTGTCATGTATATTGTGTTTCAATTGCCTATGATATTGTTTGTGATAACTTGTATTATGTAAACCGCTTTGAGTCGCCATTCCGACTGAGAAAAGCGGTATAGAAGTAAAGCAAATAAATAAATAAATAAATAATCTGTCAACCTTTTGCTTGTCACAGGATGTCCAACTTTTTGTTTGTCACACAAGTCAGATGTTCCCACCTCAACATCTTTAAACTTTCTCAGCCAACGACGCACAGTACTCACATCAATGCAATCACCATAAACAGCTTGCATTCTCCGATGAATCTCCTTTGGGTGACACCTGCTGTTGTCAAGAATTCAATGACTGCACGTTGCTTAAGTTGCATTGACTGACCGTCTGTGCAGGGTTCCATACTTTGCACTTTAACAACACAAGCATTCAATGCTAAGGCTTCCCACCACAATGGAACTGTAGAGGAGAGTCTACTGAACAAGCCAGTACCTGCCGCATACCAGTACTGCCATCGGTTGAGGAGTTACAAAGGTGGAGGCATTACTTTTCATTCAACCCACGTAAATAGGTAAGAGGAGCGATATGAAACCAATGTGGAGTATGTGTGTCGGAGTATGGTCAAACACGGCAGATCCGAAGCTTAGGCTCCTGTAACATTCTCCATCTCCAAAGCAACGAGCTTGGGGAAGGCAGAGGGGAGGACCTTCCCAGCAGGTCTTTGCAACGCTCGGCAGGTGAGGAAAGGGAAGGCTGATGAGCCAAGGCGTGTTCTTTTCTGTGCCACCCCCTCAATCTCAGCCCCTCTTTCCTCCTTCTGCGCTTTGAAGGCAGATTGCCTTAGAGGAACTTTCTGAAACAATACGGCGCCGGGAGTTCACTCGGGGACACGTTGCCACCACGTACCAGCGGAGAGGCGGCAGAGGAAGGAGCTGTTAGACAGAGACATCTTGCGATGGTGGCACGGGCTATTTTTAAATCGCTCGCCAGCCCAGCTGAAACGAGACTCAAGGCTGACGCAGGTGCCAGGCTGAACGCGGACAGTGGACACAGCTTGCCTACTTACATACTTAGGCGATCCCTCGTTGTCCGAGTAGGTAGGTAGGTAGGTAGGTAGGTAGAGGGATGGAGGGATAGATGGGTGGGTGGGTGGGTGGGTGGGTG